ATTTTATAAATCTATTTGGGCTTATCCTTTATAGGTTTATTCATTTGTAACTGTTATATTCACATATTTAGCATTGACTTGGCAACACTAGTGTTCTGATGCATTGATTAACAGGATACCAATTACATTCAACAGTCCAGTAGAAAGCCAAGATAGATAGAATTTTATGATCACTGCTACATTATGAAAATCAGTGAGAACACCAGTATGATTTGTTAGTGTTCCTTTGCTGTTACTTGCATTGTGACCTCCATGAGACACCTTGGGATCGCTGCCAAACCAATACAGGGATCCCCAGACAGAACTTCTACCTCCCCATTCTTGTCCCCATATAAGGCAATGGGGAGAAAATTCAAAGTTATTTGACTGTAGTTCCAAGGGTTTGCAGTCAAATAACTTTGATGAATTCCACCTATACTCATTCGTTTCCCACGGTTTTCCAGCCAGGCCACGAGCATCAGCACGATGCGCCGCTAAAAAATCCTCCGCCGGTTGTGCCACATGGCAGAATCTGGATCGTTCGGACCGCCTCTATGTAGGGGACCCACATGGCACGGTTGCCGCCGCTGGATTCCAGTGCTTTCATTTGTAGTTAGCGCGTAGCTTTGGAGATCGAAGAACAAATGGGAGCGACGTGATCTCGAGAACGGCAAGAACACGCAATGGCGATAGAAATGGCAAGTAGTAGCAGGAGTGGTAGCAGCACTAGGGCGAGAATGCGGGCATTGTGGGTAGCAGTAGGGCTTGTGGAGCTCTGGCTATGGCTGACGAGCACAGCCCACGCCCAATTCGTCCCCAAGGACAACATCCTTCTCGCGTGTGGCGCTGCGGGCAGCACCAACGTGAGCGGCAGGACATTCGTGGCGGATTCCAGCTTCGCCCAGGGCGGAGCTCCTCGATCCGGCTCCATCCCCACCAGCAGCGCCGCCAATCTCTCCTCCGCCGACGAGCAGCGCCTCTACAGCACCGCCCGCGTCTTTACCGCCAAGGGCTCCTTCTCCATCGGCGATCTCACCCCGGGACGCCACTGGATTCGCCTCCACTTCCTCCCCTTCTCGCCAGATCTCGCCGCCGCCCTCTTCTCCGTCAGCGCGGACGAGTACCTCCTCCTCTCCAGCCAGAGCGTGGCGGGCGAGATCCAAGCCCAGGCGCGATCCATCTCCTCCCCGGCGCTCCTCAAGGAGTACTCGATCAACATCACCACCGCGCAGCTCACGATCTCGCTCGTCCCGTCGCCGGGCTCCCTGGCCTTCGTCAACGCGATCGAGATCGTGTCCATCCCCGACGCCGCGATCCAGGACGATGGGCAGCTCGTCGGGCAGGGCACCCAGGCCTTCCTGGGGATGGCTCGAGCAGCGCTCCAGACCATGTATCGCCTCAACGTCGGCGGCGAGAGCATCGATCCATCGCTCGACTCGGGCCTCTCCCGGCGCTGGATCCGCGACAATCCCTTCCTGGTGGGCGCGCGCGAGGGGATCCCAGCGCCCAAGATCGAGGACATCACGTACCCTCCACTCCTGCCAGGATTCATCGCGCCCAAGTCGGTCTATGGCACTGCGCGAACGATGGGCGTGAGCGATCTCATCAACACCCAGTTCAACCTCACCTGGACCTTCGCGGTGGACAGCGGCTACTCCTACTTTGTACGTATGCACTTCTGCGAGACGGTGTACAGTACGCCGTATGCCCGGATCTTCGACGTGTTTATCAACCGGCTGCCCGCGGTCAAAGGCCTGGACGTGGTGGTCAAGGCTAATGGCGCACAGACCGCCATGTTCATGGACTTCGTGGTTCCCATGAACGATGGTGGAAGTTCTATGGTGGTGGAGCTCGGCCCCTCCCCGGGGAATGGAGCGCAGCACAACGATTCCATCCTCAGCGGGATCGAGATCTTCAAGGTGAACAACACTCGCGGGAGCTTGGCCGGGAGTTTGATCCCGCCGGGTGTGGATCTCTCCAAGGATGATGGCTCTTCCGGGGGTTCCACTGGTATTGGCGCCGCTGGGATTGGCGGCGCCGTCGCTGGTGGGCTGCTGGTGATCGGGCTGCTTGGTGCCGGGCTGTGCTTCGTCCGGCGGCGGCGCCACCCCGGACTGGCCAAAGGCAAGAGCAAGAAGAAGAAGAGCGCGTCGTGGCTGCCGCTCCACGCCGCCGGGAATGGAAACTCCACCAGCATCGCGAGCAAGTTCTCTACCGGCGGCGCGTCCAACAAGAGCGGCGCCACCGTCGCGTCCACCGCCACCTCGAGCCTCGGCGGTCGCTTCTTCACCTTCGCCGAGATCTTGGAGGCGACGAACAACTTCGATGAGACGCTGCTGCTGGGCGTGGGAGGATTCGGCAAGGTGTACCGCGGGGAGCTCTTCGACGGCACCAAAGTCGCGGTGAAGCGCGGCAACCCGAGGTCCGAGCAGGGACTGACCGAGTTCCAGACCGAGATCGAGATGCTGTCCAAGCTCCGGCACCTCCACCTTGTCTCTCTCATCGGCTACTGCGAGGAACACTGCGAGATGATCCTCGTCTACGAGTGCATGGCCAATGGAACTCTCCGCGCACACCTCTACGGCTCGGACCTCCCGCCGCTCTCGTGGAAGCAAAGGCTGGAGATTTGCATCGGCGCTGCTCGAGGGCTCCACTATCTCCACACGGGAGCGGAGCAGGGGACCATCATCCATCGCGACGTGAAGACCACCAACATTCTCCTGGACGAGAACTTCGTGGCCAAGGTCTCGGACTTTGGGCTGTCCAAGACGGGACCATCGCTGGATAGAACTCACGTAAGCACCGCCGTCAAGGGAAGCTTTGGATACTTGGATCCCGAGTACTTCCGGCGGCAGCAGCTAACCGAGAAGTCGGACGTGTACTCGTTCGGGGTGGTGCTGTTTGAGGTGCTGTGCGCGAGGCCGGCGATCAACCCGGCTCTCCCTCGCGAGCAAGTTAACATCGCCGAGTGGGCGATGCAGTACCAGCGGATGGGAGCGCTGGAGCAGATCGTGGACGCCAACCTCAAGGGGCAGTGCTCGCAGGAATCGCTCCAGAAGTTCGGGGAGACGGCGGAGAAGTGCCTGGCGGAGCAAGGCATCGACAGGCCGGCCATGGGAGACGTCTTGTGGAACCTCGAGTATGCGCTCCAGCTCCAGGAGGCGTCGAGCGGGGATAGCAGCGGGATGATACTGGATCACTCGGCCACGCGGGCTGGAGACCAAATGGAAGTTCCACTCCGGTCTTCTGCGGATCACCAGGCCGACTACCACCGCCGGTTGGGAAGCGAGGACGATTTCGAGGATGCCAGTGCCAGCGCGGTCTTCTCGCAGCTGGTGAATCCTCAAGGGAGGTAAAAGCTTGGATCTTCGCGTAGCTTGACTTTTACACGGATCACACACGAGTTTCTACGACATGATCAGAGGGACGAGCTAGAGTAACGGCCAGGCAGCCGGTCGCTGTCAGGAATTCATGCGAGAATAACGAGAAGTTTTAACGGGATGGGACCACCTTGAACTGCATGCTTCCTCATTTTTTTCTATACAGTTGTTGACTCGTAGATTGTTTAGTACCTACATCCTATTGGATTCAAGCTGGTCTTTTCTTTGGTTTTGTTCTCTCCGCGTTGCCTCCAGAAGCAAATTGCAGTACTCGTCACGTCATCCACAGCTGCCTCGCATGTGTTTTTATGGCGGCTGTCAGCAACAGACAGCAGCACTCTTGTGAGTGATCGATCACAGAAAAGCTCCAACAGGAACGGGACAACTAAAAGGTTGGGTGAATCAGTCAAATTGAGTGGAACAATTCCACCTTCAAGCTCGTCCATGCCGCCACCAAAACCAACACACAGTCCTCTGTAATAGAGCATTTGAAACTATTCCTACTGTTGTGGCCAACCTGCACTCCATAACATCTGGAGTGAATGGAATGGTTACAATTTTACCAGCTTTTTTAAGTGGTTTTTATTGCAATATTCTTGTTAATAAATCATTTAAGCAGTCTTAATATTTTTGGTTTGCTTAAGTAAATTTGTTATTGTGATAGCTACAATACCGTATACTAATATTAGCATAATAAGATTTTGATAGTTCCTATTCAAACCATTCACTTTTGTATATAAACTAGGGTTTTTGGGTTAATTGATATGCATATTTTTATATTCTCTTTTTTATATTCCATGCAATCACATTGGTAAAGATGAAGGGCAACTTTGATTCTCTTTGAAGAGTGCTAGGATTTGAGATTTTGGTTTAGATTTAACTTTTGTATTGTTTAAATCTCCCTTTTTTTTATAATTTTTTTCAACGTCTTCTTTTTTGCTTTTTCTTTTTTATTCATCTTCATAATAGAGCAACAATTTCCTCCTCCTTTGACTCTGGAGTAGTAGTTGGTGTAATTGCTCGATGCTATAGGGTTGTAATTAAATAATTAAACTCAATTGATGGCAGCATTCATAGCACGTGGTACAACTTTTCTTACTCTTGCTGCCAATCCTTGCGTTCAACTGAAGTTCTTTTGTGGGAACTTTGGGGATGATGTGTACAATTGGTTTGATCACTTTACAGTGATTGTATTCTTGGGATGATGCTCAGCATTTGCATGAGTTTCTCACATGTCTCCAAAGGATAGCATTGCAATGGTATAATGGTTTAAGTGTAGCCACTCATGAGGATTGAAGCATTCTCTTAAACTTCTTCAAACACACATTTAGACATGTCGACAATTGTGATGATATCTTTCACCAATTGCATCATTTTCGTTAAGGGCCATCTAAGTCTATGATGTAATTTAGCGTTCATTTCCAAAGCTTTTTGCTTCATACAAAGCCAAATATTTTAAAGTGGATCAAATTAGGAATATTATGGCCAACACTTCATCAAAATCTTGTAGAACTTATGCATGCATTTGCTCCAGCCACCCTTGATAACACTTTTCATTTGGCAAAATATTATAAATCATCACTTCTTCCACTTCTTGTTGTATGTCTTTCAACTCCACTTCCTGTGGGAGATGGTCCTATTCCAATAAAGGTTAATGCTACTGCTACCCAAGTTCAAAAACAATGGCTAGGACAAGGTTATAGTCGTGATATCTACTATTGGGTGTGTGATAAAGTTGGTTATACTTATCGATGTTATTGCAATTTTTTGAATTGGCAACTTTCATTTCCTAGATGGAGACCTTGGTATTAACAATGTCTTGTTAGTATTGCTGTTGTGGAAGGTCCGGACACTAAGATGCTTCTGAGAAACAAAGAGTTACATGAGTAGTAAAGGGACCTTGTGTAAATAAGTTAATGACCTCTTCACCTTTCTTTCAGGAGTATCATTAATGGGTTCACTCGGCACTAATTCATCCAATGTTTACTTTCCAAGTTTATTTTTATAATAAGAGATTTCTTATTATTCTCTCTGTGTTGGTTGATACAAACGCAAGTTTATCTTTTATTCCTCGGTTTATTGCCACACATTGCTGTCTATGTTTGCGTTGTGTGGCAGAGCTAGTTTTCATTCTTTATGGCAACAAGCATGAGATGAAGCAAATCTGGTCATGTATGTAGGCAATCTCAAGCTTGAGTTGTAGTCTTATGGGTGGTACTAAGTTAAGCTTTTGACTTTATCCTTGGTATGGATTGATTGCAATGCAATCCCCCTTATCTCATACTTTTTTATATTTTTTCCATTCGTTTCATTTTTATACTTGTTTGTCTTTCTGCTTCCATCACTTTTATTTCTCCATTACTTCTTCCTATGTTTCCATCTTATTCATCTCTTCCCTTTTCGAATCCCTATGATAGTTTTTGTGTTGCAGCAATTGACTGGCTTATAAAAGAGTATACTGATCTCTTTGAATTTGACCTATCGTCTAGGGCCAAGTTTGCAACACGTCATTTTATTCCAACTTAGGATGCTTGTTTAATCAAGGTTTTTATTTGTTATTAGTCACCCAAAGAGATCAAGATTTTACATGTAAACATAAAGGAGATGTTGGAAAAGGGTGTTATTCGAAAGTTACAAAGTCTTTAGGCACATTGCTGATCTATTGAATCGTCTAAGGAGAAATCATTAGTTCACTAAGTTAAATCTTGGTTCTAGGTACTGACAAATACTAATGGCCGAAGAAGATATTCCTAAGACAACTTTTCGTATACCATTTGGGTTGTACAAGTTTTTGGTGATGCTATTTGGTTTGAACAATACTTCAACAACTTTCTAATGGATGATTAGACGAGGTTCTTTGCAATATAATGGACGTGACTGCTAACTTCTTGATGATGTCTTAATCCACTCAAAGGGGACATGGGAGGAATATGTTTGTGATGTTTGTAAGGTGTTAAATTGATTACGAGAAGGTGGTTTAAAGCTGAAGTGGTCGAAATACATATTTGGGTCCAAGAACACAACTTATTTTGGGTACTATATTTCTTATGAGGGTTTGTAAGTTGATCTTAATAAACTTATGTTTGTTTTAAAATTCCCTACTCCGAAGTGTGTGAATAATGTGCAACACTTCTTGGGTAAAATGTAGTATCTCGGTCATTTTGTTGATCATCTTTCTGATCACACTGCACCTTTGCGAGCGTTGCTGAAATTGTCAACATCATTTTTCATCTAGTTTGTAAACTATGAACAAGCGTTTACGGATATCAAAAATCTATTGATGACTCCTCTAGTTTTGGCATATCCTAACTACACTTGATTTTTCATTTTGCTTATCGATGCTTCTAATATTGGTCTTGAATGTGTATTTATGCAAGAAAGCCCAAGTGTGCCTGGTTAGCACCATCCCGTTGTATATATCAACTATACATTACAACCAACAAAAGTGAACTACTCCACGACAAAGGAGAATTTAGCAGCAGTTTGGGGTTTCGAAAAACTTTATATATATCTACATGGTTCTTAGATGTTATTAGAAGGTGATTATGTTGCAGTTACTTCATTATTGAAGCAGAAGAACTTGTGTTGTACTGCTTAGTGGGTTTTGAAGCTTCAGATATATATAATTTTGATGTTGTTCATTGTTTAATGGATTCTATGGCTGATGCTAATGCCCTTTTTCAAACTCTTCTTCTTTCTTCACTCTCTTTTGTTGTTCCAACATTTGTGGATTTTTTAGACAAGGATTTGTGATGTCGATGGTTGCTGTATTTGACATTTAGTGTCCACAAAGTGCAAAGCAAGATTTACCTTCTTTTGATATGGTTTGCGAAGTTCAAAGATTAAGCTATGGATTCAAAGCTTCACAATAAGTTTGAGAATTCTATATCACTTGCTGATAACTTGCCATTTCAGCATTTACATTCTCAATATCACCTTGAGGATAGTTTTCTTTGTTTTGTAGGGACAAGTTCTAATGATCATTTATGGTTAGTGGTGCCTTTGATCTTTATTCCATGCTTTCTCCATACTTACCATGATTTTCCTATTCTATGTGGGCATATGGGACATCTGTAAGCTCCTAAGTTTGGAAATATCCCAAGACCCTTAACCGATTGGAAAAGGGGGTGCATTCTTGTTTATGAGTCATTTTCCTTTATATTTGAACCCCATGGATCGTCTTTTAAGTCATTCTCTTTGGTTGTTAACAATCCATCACACTTCCCTGCAAGTTCACGCCCACTAGCCAGATGTCAATCAACATGTGGTGTGATACCCCTAGCCAACCAACAGAGTTGAACCTGAGACCCCTCTTATACCAAATGTAAGCTTCTAAGTTTGGACTTCCCAGAAGGTCACCCAGCCTAATACTATTCAAACCTAAAGACGTTTAACCTTAAATATCCCAAGACCCTTAACCGATTGGAAAAAGGGGTGCACTTTTGTTCATGAGCCCTTTCCCTCTATATTTGAACCCCATAGATCATCTCTCAAGTCGTTCTCTTTGATTGCTTACAACATTGTTGTGTGATCGAGAAGCTATGCAAGTTTTTCTATTGGTCGAAAATGTGACGTGATATTATCCGGTATATGTGTAATTGTGTTTGATGCCAAGCTCATAATACTCCCCCTCATATTGCAGAAAGACGGTTGAAGTCAATTACAATTTCCTATCTATTTGAGTTTGTGGCGTTTGATCTGATAGGGCATTTTCTATAGTCAACTGTTAATGATAAGTATGTCAAAATTGTTTTTGACTACTTGACTCATTGGGTGGAAGTTGGTGCTCTTGCTAGTGCATTTGCAATTGTTATTGGATACTTCCTCCTCAATCAAATGGTGTTTTAACATTTTTGTTTGGAGCAAATTCTTTTGGATAATGGTCCCACATTTATGGCTGAGGCACTTCATGTTTTAACATCTCGATTAGGGATATGCCACACTTTAATGAGTGTTTATTATCCATAGTCAAATATTTTGGTAAAACGGATCATTCAAACCTTCAAA